TCTAGCCGTTTCCGACCTCGCGGATTTGAAGATTAAAATTTTACTCCGAGTAGCCTAAACAGTCTACTTGGAGTAAATTGCCTATTTAGGCTACTTAGACTTAGTCGAAGGTTTACACCTAGGACCCAGGTTTCCATCTACCGACACCTCGTTTTTGACGTGCGGGAGAAAGCCCTGAAAATAATTGACCGGAGGAAATGAAGCTGGATCCATCTCTACGGATTGTCTAGTGAGTTCTATCCTATCATTATGTGAACCCTGGACCCTCCCACGAGCGGAGCAACCTGGACAGGTTCGAACCGACCCTGACCTGTGCAGGATGCTGCACCTTCACGCCAGCAACCCAATTTCGGTCTTACATCTTCTATGACGGGTTCTTGTTCTCTCCTGAACTCGTTCTCGGATCTGAACTAGGCTGTTCCAAGGTACTTCCAGGTCGAGGTGGCCGTTTGATTCCCTTTGTAAAATCGTACTCCTCTTCGTGGGCGACTCATGTGGCAGGTGCAGGGTCCGTATAAGGTTAAAGGGTGATTCGACTCTCTCCTCGACTCGCTCGCGCCTCGCCCAATTTTCGAGAGGAGTTATTAAGAACGCCCACGCTTATTCGGAAACCCGATTTGGTTTCTGCTTATATGGGGGGTTTCCTTCGAGACATGCTCCGAGGAGAAACTCCCGTTGCGAATGATCTTCGTTGCTGGCATCTTAGACCGTGATGTCAGCAAAACGACACAAGACCTAGTGCTGATGGATCACAATGGCTAAAGGTGCAGGCTCTTCCCTTCACCGAGATGTATTTCCATTTGGAATTCAATTCCGTGTTTTCCCTTTCTATCGCACAGTTTGAGCTCTCACTGATATCGCCGTCGATTTTTGCCAAGTCAGGTCAATGACTAATGGGCGGTGCTGGCAGGAGTATTATAGGAGTACCGATTGCCCCATGGGGTATGGGACTCCCTGGTGCCCCAAGAACAGCATATACCCGCAGACCAGAAACCGTGTTCCTTTAATTGGAATCTTCGAGCCGAATCACAGCTCCGGGATAGATGCGCTACGAAAAATATAATGGTCTCTGAAATCAGCCAAACGCTCTTCTTGGAAGGTGTCTGCAAGGTATCCTCAGGTTCTGGTCATATTCAGTTTGATAAATTATTCTTCTCCTGTCCTGTCCTAAGTGTCCGGTGATTGCGGTGATGTGTCCACGAGTCTAATCACCTGTTTCCTCTGCGGACGGGACGCACCGCGTGTCCCAAAATTTCGATGGGTGTCTCACAATGGGTGGAAGAAGTCGACAGTGAAATAAACGTCAAGCCGAATGGGCTGCGGATGTTTTATGGAGTGTCGGAACTTCCGAGAGTTCAGGTGTCGTCGATCGATCGAGCGACACACGTGTCGGCCGGAAACGGAAATGCGCTGTGGGAACGCGAGGAGCCAAAAGTGACTTGAGACGGGCCTAATGACTGGCATGTAAATGCGGAATGTACGCCAAGGCGAGGTGACACTTGTAAATGAGAACATCGTTATGAGAATGAACCGTGCATGGCCGCGGTACGAGTGAGAATTCGGGAATGGAATGGAACGTTCCGGGAAATTGGATGTCACCCTGATCAGCCTGCTATTGTGTACCGAGTAAACCTATCCAAGTCACTTGTTTGATATTGTCGACAGGCGGGAGGAAATGGCGACCTAGCGACCTATTTGAGATCTCAAGCGAAGGCTTGGAGTCCTAGGTCCAGCAGATTGGATTCGGTCATGCCACACACAAGGTTGCATGACGCAGGGCCGTTAAGTTTGGGGTATTCATAAATATTTGATGATCGTCTTTCATTTGGTACCCAGGCACTTCTCGGGGCTCTCTTCGTGCGAAAGATCGATTTTATCGGCGGTCCAATCATTAAAGCCACACTTAATCGTCTGGACCCGCAAAAGGCCTTTCGGCAGGAGCGCGCCCGGTGACGTCTTCGTCCTAGTCCTCCACGGACGGTTTGCGGAGATTGCTTTAGAAGAAGAAGAAGAGATACCTTTCGCAGGGACGCCTCGGAAATGGGATAAAAGCGAACGAAATATGTTTGGATAAAATATACACATAAATTAGCGGTTCGTTCCGAGGAACGGTGGTCGTTAGAGAGGCAGCCCTCCGACACGCGAGACTCGGGTAGATAATCGGACGAGCCTCGTAATATGTTGGGGGCGTGCGAGAATAACGCATTGCTTGAAATATTTAACGAGAAGGTAATTTGGCGGGGTTGTGCCTGCTCGAGCGTGTGGGTGCCGATGGTGGTCGGCATACCGCGAGAATCCCTCGCCATGGTGTCAGCCAGAGGATTCGGAGGTGTTTTATGTATCTCACGCGGCATGGCTGAAACGTACCGCTAGGTGCTCCATCCTCCGGAATGTAACTTATGCTCTTGGCTCTTCGTGGTTCATGCTCGTAAGTTCCGGGGCAAAGAGCGCCTGACGAAGTTACCAGAACCCTGGTGCCCAAAGACACCTGCGATATGGCTGCCAAGTCCTCTGGCCGACTCTCAACCCTTGTTCATGGTGATCGTCCATCCAGCATCCAGACAACCCTATTGGTCAATGGGATAGGCACCTGCGACTGGCTGTCCAGTTCTCGAGCCGACTCTCTTAGACCGTATTCAGCTTCCACACTCTCTACCCTGCAGTAATCTAACTGCTTCATAATAATCGTCCATCCGGACACCGCTTCCGCGCCGCAGCCGCAAGCGACAACTCTCCCCTTGTCTCGTTCCTTGCCCCCTACACATCGCTGCATCCCGCAGGAAAGAGGCGGACTTTACGAAGGCGGCAGGTGCCCGATGAGATTCAATCCTCATTATTTTCTCATCAGTCTTCCGCTCGGCGTTTGCGCCACTCGCGGGAGGATATCTCGCGATACATTATGCGCGCACCTTAAGTATGATTCCGATTGGAGACCTTAAATACTGAAATGAGAGGCGAAATTCAACGCGCGAATTTCAATGAATTTCTCTCTACCTGATAACGTCGAGTCCTCGTGTCCTAAGGACAAATCTTTTTAATAACTGCCACAAAACATCGATATAGGGCCATGCAGAAGGAAGGCAAGTATTGCCATGGCTTTGACGTCATGTTTTATGAAATGGGCTGCAGAGTAGTGACAGCATTACATCCGAGTTCGGGGCTCCATTTTCTTCGGGTGCATTTAAAACGAATTAACGCACGTAAGCAGTCGGTGCAACCTTTTTACATTGTTCGTATTTTTTCTTCCGGCTCGAATTAACGAGCAAGGTGCGGTGGCGGTGCCGTGATTCGCAACCAGCCCGCCGGCGCCAAGAGACGGCTTAATTGCGGATGCTGTACGTAATCCGCATGCTTTCGCTTAATTATAATACCGCGATCTCGAGCTAACCACTTCGCAGCGATGATCCAGTTTCGACTTCGAGTCGCTCGGAAATTCACCCTCGATTTGCCGCCAGCAAAGAGGGCGGCTTTAGGCTCAAAAGTCAGCTTCGCGTCGTTTCGAGATCCCCAGTCAGAAGCGAAGGTCCCTCTGTCGATTCGTCTCATTGTCCGAAGCTTATCCGCCGCTGCAACCGTGGACCACGCACGGAAAGACCTAAGATGCAGAAGGCGACCTTAGACCTCCAGACTATCCGTAATCCTTTCCGGACACTCGTAATGGCTGGCATGGTGAGTTCAATTGCGCCTGAATTGGGTAGGGTGCAGGGAGTGCAGTAAGAGCCGGCTTCGAATGCAACTCACGGCCCTCTGAAAGGAACCGAGATGCACCCGGTGCATGAGCACATCTCGGTAATGATGGCACGGTTCGGACAAAGGCCCTGCCAAACGGGTTAGAGAGATGCCCGGCGCGTATGTAAATGGGGTTATGTGTGAGAGCTTTTTTTGACTCGGTAACAACGCCGAGAAAAAAAAAAGGCCTCCCCTTCGATTGTCAATTTACTTGATAGAGGACGCGGTCCTGAGTTATGTAGACCAAGGAAATCCGCCGTTGAAATAAGCCCGGTCTTCGGATTCTCGAAAGACCAACCCCACTTCTGCCCAATAAGAGATTCGCAATTTGCGATGCAGGAGCCGATCGTGAGACTCGGTCTACTGGGCCACCTTATTTAAATCGGCCGCATCCTTGTTGCAATTTCTCTCCACCGAGTATGGCGGCCGAACTGTCGTTAAAAAGACAATGGCGGACGTGGGTACAGGACCGAGTATCCTGGCAGCGTTAAGCAGGGGGCCAGGCATTGACTGTTGTCCGAAGGAAATTGATCCCAGCCCTTCCCACGAACATTTTTCACCGGCGACTCGCTCGGACCTCGCAAATTGCTGCTTTATTATGCAGATGGCCCTCATGCAAAATTAAATTGAAAAACCGATTCGGAACCTCTTTCGGCGCGAAGGCGCCGCCGGTGCTTGTCTGGCAGTGCGATTTTCTCAAAGTGCTCGGCCCCGAAATTGTACCAGAAAATTAGATCGATAAGAGTGGGTTGCGATCGGAATATGGGTCGGTGCCCCGGTGGGGTACTTTTTAAGAATGGTCTACATGGTTGTTACCCAACGCGCCGGCGCAGACGTCAACCCTGCGCGGTACATTATCCTCTGCGTAGAAAACGTCTGCCATCTGCAGGGGCCTGGGAGAACCGAGAGACGTATTGAACAGCCTCGATGCGCGTACTAGATGCGCCAGTACCGGGAACATCTCAGTGCTCCCAGGACCCAGTGCAGGGCAAAAACCCAGCTAACCCGTAGCCGAGGTCACCGGAAGCATTTTGGGCGGGAAGTCGAAGTTCGGGGCCATCAACGGCGCCTTAAGATGTCGATCAACCATCTTTGAGATGGTCTAGCAGCATCCGAGATGCAGCGGTAGGTGGATTCGCGAGAAAGCTCTCCAGAAGAGGGACGGCAAGAGTGGAAAGCAGAGTTTTTCAGAAAACTCGATGAAGTCGGTCGTGGATTCGACCATTGACCAGATCGAGTAGCCGCTGACCAGTGGAACCGGAACGTCCAGGATGAGGCCCAGCATCATCGTCCTGCTCCTGTGCCTGAGTTCCTTGGTGATGTCGACAGAGTCCAAGCTCCAGAGACAGTCTGCAGGGACCGGGGACGAAGACGAGGACGACTGGAATGACGATGAGGACGACGACGACGACGATGATGACGACGACGACGACGAAGGTGGAGGAAGCTACTCCCAGCCGGAGGTGGACGACGACGGCAGGATCTACAAGAATCCGCGCAACTCCCCCTCGGCAATGTGTCCAAGAGATGAAGAGCAAGCCGAGTTGGTGGGACAGAAGTGCCTCCGGAAGTGCTCGACCGACGAGGACTGCAAAAGCAAGAAGAAGAAGTGCAGGTGCGACGGCGCTTGCGGGATGTCCTGCATAAAGCCGGACCGAGAATGCCCGGAACTCGCGGACGTTGACCACGGGTCACTCATTGTGACCGGTCGTCTGTTTGGTGACCGCGCCCGGTACACCTGCGACCCCGACTTCTTCACCGTGGGGTTGTCCGAGAGGGTTTGCAGAGCCGATGGTCAGTGGTCAGGGAGTACTCCGTCCTGCAAGAAGGACTCCACCTCCTTCTGCTCGGACCCCCCTAAAGTCGGTCACGCTCGGCACAACGCACCCCTGGAACAGACCACCTTCGACCTGGACAACATGGTCCAGTACTTCTGCGAGCACGGATACGCCGCCAGCACTGGTTTTCCCAAGGCGAAGTGTCTGGTCATGGATGGTGCCGCCAGCTGGTTTGGTCCTGACGTTTCCTGTGAACCCCAGAGCTGCGGAGCTCCTGCAAATATCCCCAACGGGTGGCATGCCGGGGAGTGTTACACCTATGATTGCAGGGTGTCCTATCACTGCACCGCCGGGTACGAACTCATCGGCAAGCCGGAGAAGATCTGCCTGTCCGATGGAACTTGGTCGCCAAAGGAGCTGCCTCAGTGTGTCCAGGTAAAGATCGTACTCAAGGGGGCTTTCGAAGACGTTGGTACCGGACTTGATTCCCTCCGGTAAGGTATCCCCGCTCATAGGTGGCACGCCATGATCAGGGTGCAACACTTCACAGCTAGGTCTCATAGTCGCTTGCTTTGACGAACGAAATACATGCACCCGCTTACCTGTAGGTGACCGCGGTCCAGTGCCCTGCCCCGGAAAACCCGCGGAACGGCAAAGCCGTGTACACCTCGTACGCTTACAACTCTATCGTGTCGTACGAGTGCAAATATGGGTACACCATAATGGGCGTCACCACCAGACGCTGCGGAGCCGACCGGCGTTGGACCGGGCAGACTCCGATGTGCAAGGAGATCAATTGCGGATCGCCGGGGATCCTGTACAACGGATGGATCGAGAACATCGAGTCAGGTGATTTGCCGTCAAAGGTTTAGGAGACCCATCGACCGGGTCCGCAACTTTTGGCCCTTTGTCGAGCCGGAAGGTAATGTTGCATATCGGAACGCCGAGACGAAGCAGTTGGGCATCGGGAATTTCGACCAACGCTAGAAGGAAGGTCGCGCTTCCTTAATCTCTTCGCTTCTTGACTTAGCCCATTGGCGATGCAACATTACGGATAGGTGGCCAAGAGTTGCGTGCACCTGTGCCAAGGTAAAAGTCCCCTCCGTTTCACGTGTCGCAGGTACCGGGTTAGGCGCGAGCATCATCTTCAGGTGCAACGAGCACACGAAGCTCGAAGGGAACGCGTCCTCGATCTGCCAGATCGACGGGAAGTGGAGGTACCCTCTCCCGCGTTGTCTAGCTCCTTGCGTGGTCCCTAGGATAGAGAACGGCCATGTGAGCATCGCCAGCAGAGAGCACGACCGCATAAACAACGTGACCGTGGTCGAGCACGGCGAGAGGCTCATCGTGGAGTGTATCTCCAACTACGAGTTCGCGGCCAACAGCACCCCGGTGGTCTGCAACAACGGCACCTGGTCCATCGTCCCCGTTTGTTCTCCAGCTAGGTGCAAGCAGATGCCGAAGGCTCCGAAGAACGGGATGGTGATCGCCCCTAAGACCGACCACGGCATGAGGGCGGTCTTCAAGTGCAAGGATGGCTTTGAGATCGTTCACTCCACCGGTCCCGGAAATACAACTAGCAAGTACGTCGAGTGTCGATATGGCAACTGGACGGGAGACATTCCCCATTGCGTGGAGGTATACTGCCCCTTCCCTGGGTATGTCACCAATGGTAAGGTACTGCTTGTCGGCAACATGGGTGTCTACGACTACCGGCCCTATGTCAAGAAGATCGTCAACAATAAACAGATCATGTACGACTGCGACAAGGGCTACGTCTTGAGCGAGGGGCCACCTGGAGCTACTTGTATCGGCGGTAGCTGGAGCCCACGGGAGCTGCCCAAATGTACCCCTGGTCAGCATCCAAGGCTACGTTGGAGCAAACGACGACGTCGTTCTGCTCCAACGTCGCTACCGCCGGTGACAAGTATGAGTTCTCGGGTCAGGCGTTACAACGAGTTCGTCGATTTGTTCAGAAGACTCGTTCATAGGATCCTGCACGTTTTGCAGAACAAGAAGGGACACGGCCATTCGGACCACCACCGCAGAAACAGCACTCGAGACTGGGCTGGTGGGAAACGTTCGCACCGTAGAAACGAGGTACCCGGGTCCCGAGATTGGGACGAAAAGATGATAGACTCCTTGAAGGCCTTGTCCAGGAAGCTGGAACGCATAGACTCCAGACAAGCCAACGGAACACGTCAGGAACCGGACGCGAATTCCAGTATACCCGAATTGTTTTACTCGATAAAGGAGAACTTCTATCGCGTCGATTTGGAAGACCATGAGAATGGTACCATAGATGACGAGCCGCAGTTCTCCGCTAAGGATCGAAGGGAGATCACCAAGCTAGGGAAGACGTTCTTGAGGATCCTGGGATTCTACTGCAAGCCTGCTGGTTGGAAAGAAATTGGACAGAACATTTGGAGAGGACACAGACGTCGAGACGGTTCCGGAGCTGGTGATGGGCACCACAAGGGGCACAAGGAGGAGGGCAGAAAACATAAACCCAAGGGTTACTACAGAGGATTTTATGAATTCATCAGCAACTACGTCAACGACAAGCTTTCCATGTTGGAGGCCCAGAACGCGACCGAGGAGCTGATGAGAAAGATGAACATCGACAAGTTCACCGTTCGAAACGGGACCACGTTCACCATTGGGCAGGTGTATGCGCTGTTCAAGCATATCATAGAAAATAAGCTGAATTTGACCAAGCCCAGGATCGAGGAGGGAACTACCACCACGGAGTCGAGTGTCGAGACCACTTCAGGGTTGAACAACGAGATCTCACAGACCGATAATGCGGATGGAGTGCCGAAGCATCGAGGAAAAAGGATTCGCGAGACGCCGGAGGAAAATCTACCGGTGTCGATCCAGAAGAGGAAGTTGCTGTCCATAAACTACCCCCTGAGCAACTCTAAACCCCATAAGATTCAGATTCGCCGAAACTCCAGGAACCCTCGTTATTCTAAATCGAGGCAGTTCACGTTAAACGAACTGGAGGCTCAGCAGCAAAGCCGCTCCAAGAGGTTTCTCCCAGCCATGGAATTGGCGAGTCAAATCTTTCTTAAGGATTTATATCTACACGCGTATGAAGACGAATACAGGGCGAATGTAAAGCGCTCGATTCAGCGCACCTCCACGTCCGCCACGGACAAGCGCAGCACCGGCTGAAAAGCCTTTAGCCATTTAATGTAATAATTAACCCAATGTGATATCATGGTATTTACCGAGTTATCTATAATTACGAATTGGTTTTAGACGAATGTAACTCTGGATACCCACGCACAGTCGTAGTTGATCGCTGCCCCCGTCTGTCCGAGTCGTGCTGTGTATCGCGCATTTTAAAATAAACCTTTTCCATGCAAATCCTTGAAGGAGAGTTCTTTCCATCCCCATGAGTCGCTTGGATTTAATCGGACATTGCTTCTCGACTTTTCTGCCGCTGCCCAACAGGTGCGTCGAGAAAACCAGGAACTGTTAGAGTGTAGAACTTCTAATCGGCTCTGTCGACACTTTACACGTGGTAGCTCCTTGCTGGACGATTGTACGGTTAGGACTTAAGATCGACGCTGAAGGCGCTAAATGATGCTAAAGATGAAGACTCGCGAGACCAATGGTGATGAAGGTGCCTGAGGCTGCTCCGATGAGGCCTAGTTCCTAGTCGGCAGTTAGCACGGTCATGTAGACTCGAGTTAACTGGTGCTAACTCGGGCACTAACGACATACCCCGGTATTAATACCCGATATTAGTCAGTCCTCCTCGAAGCGTCCATCCCGGCTGATGCCATCACGTCCACCGCCTCGGCATCTCGCTGGAGCCTCAACATCCCCAAAATCCGAGCGACATTACCAATTTTTTTAATTTTACCTTTTAAAGCAAACGGTAAATCATAGGTTGACGTCAGAAGTTTACTACTGATACTGTCGCCAAGTTTTGGCTCTCAGGGGGGTCGTCGTTTCAGCCATCAGCCATTTAGAGATAGATTAGGCAACTTTAGAGTCGCGGTATTGACGTCCAAAGTGTTCCATAATGAGTTTGAGTTGGAGAGTTAGTCGACCTCCTGTCGTTTGGCTGGTCGGAATGAGTTTAGTGACGTTCCCGTAGGTGGTCCTGTGCCCTCCTGCCACTTAGCTCGTTCCTGCTCCGAGGCATTCCTTTTCCGCCGCTCTGTAATCAGCAGTGCGCTGTGCGCATTAACACCGAGGGCGCCAAGAACACGTGCGCTTTTAACGCCACGATTTTCAATAATGTTGAAACACGACGGGCCATCGCTCGAAATTTAAAATAATGGCTGCCTCGCAGCCAGCTGTTTGGAGCAGCTTTGACGAGCGGCGGGACCCATCGTTAGCGTAGCCATTGCAAGGACCAATGATTTTATCCCCGTGAAATCCTACTTTTTAGTATCAGGAATCGTGATAGGGAACGTCGACATCGTTAAGGGAATGATCATGCATTAGGATCCAGCGACACATGGATGCTGGACGATGGTGGGGCGGTAGGTACCACCAGGACATGTCGGGAAGGTGTTATCGACACTCTCCGGGATTTATTTACGGGATTTATGAGAGTCCCTCCAAATAAGGTGTTCGCACCTTGCTGCCTCGGCAAGTCGTGTTTGCGGCTATCCCGCAAACGACGGTTTTCGCGCCTCTTCGGCCCGTTTAAGGCCCGGGCCGAGGATGCCGATTACGAGCCTCGGGTCGATTTCAATAACGAGTTTCCAGCGAATGGCTAAGTAATCTCAAGGGAATCGACCGGTGTGCTCCCGTCACCTCAAGTTGTAGGTTCGTCAATGGCGTGTCAGCCCCATAAAGCAAAAGCTGATCAGGATAAATATCACCTTGGTCACCTTCTGGTTGTCAGGTCCCCTGATCGGGCATCCAGATAGAGGGCTGGAGTCTAACTTAGTACCCTACATAGGTGTACTTAGGTGCACGCATGCAAGGAATGCTGGGTGAAATAAGGCACGCTCGGAAAGAAGGGGCCCCGTTAACAGGGCGCCTTGTAATCGATTAAGTGGCTGGTACGTCCGAGAGGCCTCCCCGTCACCTTAATTATTTCGTCATGCGGCTACTTAAGAAGAAGGATTTGCAAATGACGGCGAACACGAGTTAATCAAATGCGCGCCGAGTTAAGGGATCGGCCCTGATGGGGACCAGACCTTAATTGCCACATTTATTTAAACCCGTTTCCTGATACGAGGGCCGCACGCTCGTAAAACGCTGACTGTAAATTCTTACCCGGATGGGAGAGCGCCGCTCGTTAAGGGTCCATCGGAGCTCAAATATGGGACGGGATCGCGATTTCGCGCACGAGGCGAGAACTGAAAAAAAAAAAGAAAAAAAAAATGAAAAGATTCCGGTAGTCCTGGCCTTGTGCCAGTCCACTCTCTGGGGAACCTAGGCATTCCAGATTCCCCTGGAAGTCTGCTTGGAACCTTCCTCACCGGTGACCCAAAATATTAGGACCATCGAGAGACCTCGCGCCAGATTGCGCTCTATCAGGCCCACTTGAATTAGGATTCCTTCATCTTTGGGGAGAAAAATGGTTCGCCATTCGAAGGAGATTTAAGGTGATTTTGAATGGTTCCTAACGACTTCGGGCCTCGTCACGCGGCATCGCGTGTGTGTTCGCATCGGCAAATAATGTGGACTCATGCTGGGACCTGGGCTTGATGCAACTGTATGCTGCAGATAACGTCCACCTACGTAGGCTTCGCTTCGTTACACCTTTACGAATGATGAAGGCCTTTCGTCTTTACGAATCGTTGACTCCGGTACCCCGTAGCGTAGAAGTCCACCTACGGGACCACATCGTGACGAGGCTCTTCGATGGGGGGAGCCCAACGTGGGCGGTAATTCGGGGGTTGCCAAGCCGTGCAATCCGACTCCACGTTCCAGAAGATAATGTACTATCTGCAAACATGGAGATAACGTGCAATCCAGCAACCTGCAGATAACACAACTTCTGGGTAACCTTCGACCTGAATTTTTTAAGGGACCAAGCCCAGGACCGATTTTGCTCTCCACTGTAAATGAGCATTAAAAAATGGTACAGGGAACAGAGCAGATGCAAGCTACGAGGATAGCTACCAGCTGCACTCATCCTATCACGATTCAGGAATAGAGCGAAGGTGCAACTCGTTCCATCAATACGGACGTTGCCCGTTGATCCAGCGATCGGTTTCTCCTCCTGGAAGGAGAGGAGGCGCGCTTCTCCTTGTTCAGTTCGAGGATTTACCCAATAACGAGAGGAGAGACCGAAATAATTGCTGCCGGTCGAGCCTGAGTCTTCCTCCTGTGGGACGTTTGAATGATCGAACACTCGATACTCGAAGTACTCGGATGTACTTGCAATAAGTGGAAGAAAAAGTGGAGAAAGCGGTCGATCCTCTTGAATCCTCTATCTTTTGCCTTCCGTGGAATTTCTCTCGAAACGAAGACGTGTACTTTGCACGAAAGGGCGCCATCTTGGACTAGCTCTACTTAGAGCGGAGGAATCACGAGCTACTCCAGACTAGGTACTCCAGTAGTGGTGCACTTAGTGCTGCCAGGCCCTTTTAAGCTGGTCTCTCGGCTCTTTCACGAAGGGGGTCTCTTCTCGTTGCTGGATCGCGAAGAGGAGCACCTGCCATGACTCACCGGGTGGCTCCCCCGCAAAACTTGACCGGATTACAAAGACTTAAATACCGGTCGGCGAATACGGTCCCAGGGATGTATAACCTGGTCCTCCAGGTCCCCCGCTCCTCGGCGAACCGTGAAAAGAAATCGCCATCGCGAAGGGATTAGCGATTTGCTCAAGTTATGGCCCGTAAAAATCGCAAATCCTCGAATCCTCGAAGGGATTCGGGGGTCGTCGTTCTCCGGACCAAGAGGATCCATTTGGCCTCGTCTCCGTCCTTTTGGTCCCTCGATAATTCGGCCTCCCCTCGCATAATTCCCCAACACTGCTCGATAACCGGCACGGTAGCGTAATTAAGACCTCTCCCAAGGTAGAACCATGCTTGCGGAATTTTACGAGGGCTCCTACTCGCCATCTTATATTTACATCGACCGTCTTAGACCAGTCGCAAAGAGGTTGTCAAGAACTGTTTTTAGACGGCGACGTCTGGAAGCGATTCCGGTGGGTCATCAGCGATGTAAGTGTTAAGGGTGCTGGGGCACAATCCGCAGATAATATACGTATATCCCGTGAAGTTGATGTACGTTCGGCGGGGGCCGAGCAATGAGATCAAGTCCGATTACACCCCCGCGTACTGGGCATGCCCATTACAACTACTGTTAAGCGGCAGCTGGTTCGATGCGTGTTCAACGTGCGACCAGCACTCGCAGCGGTTGATGAACAGATAGAAGAGATATTTAATAAGATTTATGAGCTCCTGGTAAGAGCCTGAGGCCTCTTGTCATTCTCTGGAGGACCTTGGCCACTCGCGAAGGGAACCTCGAGGCGCCCACGTGCACGAGTCCGCGAGTCCCTTGCTGGGCTCGCCATGGCGATTTTCCTCGCCATGGCGGGCCCAAGGGATTCCTCGGCACGGTCTCGGAGGTCGTAAATCACCGTCTGCGCGACAATTAAGTCGCTCGCAAGAGCGAATAGGTCCGCGTGTCTATCAAGGGAGTGAATCGCGCGAACCACCTGCCGGAGCGTGACCCGACGCATACGTGACCCCAGGCTTGGCGCATGCCAGAGTCTCTTCTTTCTGCCTCATCTCGGCTCTAGAGACTCTGCAAGACCTCCTGCTGATCACGGTGGAAGGTACGTCGAGAGATCGTTTCAAGGAAACGGCGCGGGAAAAAACGCAAGGCAGAAAAAATCCCCCCTGAAATCGGAATGCAACCGGGGGAGCAGGATGAGGAAATTCAATAAATAAATTCTAGGCTCCATTATTTCATTGAAATAATACATTTATAATTTAATTCCCTAATTCCAGAATTTAGTTCATTAATTTATTTTGATAAATCTCACCGGGAATTCCTAGATTCGGGGGTATTTGGTACATTTGGGTGCATTTTAATGCTCGCCTTAAATCGGAACACCTGGGTCTTGCTGGGGAGGAGCGAAAGGAGAAACGGGTCTGCAGATTTACGTAACGTCTAGCGCGTGCACGACTCCAGAGGAACGAGTACTTGAAGACCCCGAGTACTCGAGCCGTCCAGCTCGTCGGTTTGGGGTTTCACCTGCTCCCAGGGGCCATGACCCGGCCCAGGAGATGCGGCTCTTCCGCTGATTGACGAGCTCCGGAGTCACCGAGATGCGCACCGAGATGCGCGCACGAAGAGGCGAGGCAGTAAAGCACGTGCGCGCATAAACGCGCGAGAAAACGATCTCGCCTCGAAACACCTGCC